AGGTACTACTACGTACTACTACGTACTACTACGTACTACTACGTACTACTACTACTACTACTACTACTACTACTACTACCCCTACTACTACTACTACTACTACTACTACTACTACTACTACTACTACTACTAGGTACTACTAGGTACTACTAATATTAGCAACGACACGTACTGTCGGCTGTAATGGGCGGTGACACTCTTGTGAGCATTGCCGTAATTATGATACAGGTTCTGACGTTTGAAAACAGCATTGATCGCTGAAACTTGACGGTCATGATCGTAAAATGCCGAAGATCAACATACTAGCCCGGTAATTTAACCCTTGATCCTCATGCTGCAAAGCCTTCTTCCAAGAATTCCCCAACTCTGAACTCTACATCCAAACCACCGATCGTAAAACCTAAACAGCCCCTGGTTTGCCTGCTCCGTCTTGGCATAGAGCGTATGAGACTCGGGAAAGTACTGACCCCCCTGCGTCACTCGCTGGCTGCAGTCACCGGCCCTGGAATCATACCTGGCAAGTCGTGAAGATTACAATCTTGCGCGGGTCCGAGAAAACGGCTTCCGTGTGCAAAAGCGGCACGGTATAGGATGATTAAACATGATTTGGCAACCAGCGCACCTGGAACAGGTCTTCCCTTCGTAGAGAGCGAAAAAGCGGCACCCGGATTCGGCTTCACATTTTGCTTTGCATCCCTGTAGCGTGCTCTCTGCTGGAATCCAGCCGGCAAAATAGCCGACGGCACAGTAGCCGGTCCCAAGCTTCGTAAAATGATACAAAGCCTGTGTTTCTTGGGTCTTGGCATAGGTGGTGTGATCGTCACCTCTAACTTCTCGGTCACTGCAGTCTTTAGCATCGCCTGTGTACCTGGAGCAGGTCTTTCCTTCCACGAAGGCAAAATAGTGGCATTGCGATTCCGTGCCGCATTTCGCGGCACAGACCGCGAGGTTGATGGCATCTTCAGCCTTCCATCCGGCATAGTAACCAGACTTGCAATAGCCCTTTCCAAGCTTCCTGTAGCGAGGGTCCACCTGATTCGCGCAGCCTACACCTACGATTACCGACTGGGCAACGAAAGGGCTTTAAAAAGGAACCTGACGATGTCACCCTCGGCAATTCCTGAGAGGTGTAGTCAAGCAAAGATGATGTTCCAGCCTTCTCCGTCTTGGCAAAGGTCGTGTGCTGCTCCGGCGAGTATTCACCACCCGCTTCAACTCTTTCATTGCAATCACCGGCTCGAGAGTCGTACCTCGGTGTGGAAAGGGAGCTCGCTGTTGCAGGCTTCATGGCACAAAGTCTCCGACCCTGATTTTGACATCCGCGCCACCGGGAGCATGTCTTGCCCTCATACAGTGCGAAGAAGCGGCACTTTTCCTCTTTCGTCATAAGGGGGCTCGGTCTCTCGGCTTAGCGCACCAACTCTGGCACTTTAGGTTTTCGGATGGTTTCAGGCCGGGTCCTCTTCTTGGCACTTGGCCTTGCAGCTCTCGAGATTACCGTCGGCCGCAACCCATCCTGATGAAGGGATCTAAGACTCTGGGACAAGTACGGGTCTTGAACGGGTCTTGGCTCTTCGACAAAGGCAGTCATCCACAGGAAAGGGGACCCAAAGGAATAGAAGAGAAACAACCAAGTCTATGTCTACTTGTACGTCTACGTCTTTTGCTGCCGCTCCTAGTACCATTCTTCTTATTGCTGCTGCTACTACAACTGCTGCTGCTGCTGCACCTACATCTACATCGGCATCGACACCTGCATCTACATCTCCTACTACTACTACTACTACTACTACCACCACCACCACCAAAACCACCACCCCCACCACCACCACCACTACTACCTCTAGTGTCTACTGCCACGGAAGTAACAGGTGCCTTAGTTCTACGGGTGACTACTGTTACTCAACACAGTCGGCAACGATCAACGGAAACAGCAGCGAGCAATAGCAAGATGCTGCAGATTCCTTGCATCAGACAAGCCCTCGATTTCATGCTGGCTCTCTCTTCGAGGGCACGAAACGTAGTTTAGATCTTGGGGGTGTTGGGTCTTCGGCCGTTGGGGTTTTGGTCTTGATGTTGAAAGCTGGAGGGCAACACAGGATCGCCTAATTTTCACCCACCCTCACCTGCATAGTACCCTGCAGGGCAATAGCCAATGCCAAGCTTGCTGAAGCGCTGCGGATGTGGGGCGTCCTGATGACGCACATGGTGAACAAGAGTAAAACTGACAGGGCGGCACTCACAGGGAAGACAGCAGCAATAGGAACAGGAAGATCTGCTAAAGACGGCAGCAATCACGTCAGGACTTTGCTTTGGTTCTGGCAGAGCAGAACACGACAACCAACCACAAACGCTCTTCTGGCTAACAACGAGCTCAAGAAATTAGCCGCGCAGGCTATTGCCCCATCCTCCGTCAGGTCGGAGTCTCGACCTTCAGGACACGAAGCAAGCACTACTACTACGACTGCGACGCTGACTACACTACAGTCACTACAGTTACTATTACTCTTACGAACACGGTTTCGAAAACCATTGCTATTACCGTTGCTTTTACCAATACTATTGCCATCGCCATCACTAGAATTACGGTTTCGATTTCGCTCACTACTACTACTACTACTACTACTACTACTACTACTACTACTACCACTACTACTACTACTACTACTACTACTACTACTACTACTACTACACGACTAACAGTACTTGTTCCTATTATACATTTCAATAACAACGAAACATCGATAGATTGCATCGAACGAGGAATACATCAAGGGACTTTCAGGTCGTGACCCCGTGCCTGCATCCCGACGCATAAGGGCCTCCATGCAGGTTTGCAGGAGGAGAGTCCGAGTTGGACAAGTCTTTGCAGGTTCCAGTTTAACAAAGCGTGACATGGTGAGTTTGCCCACAGGACATGGCTCTGAATTCCGAACGATGCTTGTTTCGCCGTCCTGTACAAAACTCCAGGAAACGTGGTCCTCCGACTCCAGCTGTTAAACCCTTCCCACAGCACAGGCTGAAGGTCAGTGTCAACATCTTGCTCGGATGGGCTAACCCGCTAACGGCTGACGAGGCATTCTCACGCAAACGGACGATGATCAAATAACACTCTGACAGAAGCAACACATTGTCAACAACCATCCCTTGATTTTGGCGAATTGAGACATCAGTGGCTGAGGAAAACACTGCAACATTCGGCCTTCGCAGATCCATCGGCTTGAATCTCAAGGTTCCGGATGTTCCCCTCGAATTTCCTGAAAAGCAGAGCTTTGGGTTCAAGGCTACATCGGCGCCTGGAGCAACAGATGGCTTCAAACAGGACACAAAAGCGTTCGAGGGAGTGAACTTGCTCAGAAGAGAGTTTAACTCTGCGTGGACCCAGACTTGTTCACCAAAACATAGCCATTTCGTATTGCCAAGATGCGCTTCGCGCTCCAATGCTGTGTGCTTCACATCCACAGCTCGAGAGATGGCCAGCAAGCCAGCCAAGATGCCGCAGGCAGAGAGCAGCATGTGAAGAAGCCAAACTACCTCAAACTATTACATCGAAGATTTTGGCTCTCTTCCAACTTCACCACAAATGCAGAACTCTCTTTCAAGCTCAGACAGGCCATTTGTCAGGTCCGAGTGCCAGAAACAGAGCTGCCCTAACCCGTACCAAACTAAACAACATGGAACCCTCCACAAATCCACTGCCACGGCAGGCGACGTATGGCAAATGGAGTTCTCAAAAAGAACGGTCTTGCCTTGGCATGCGAGAAAATATGAGGTCTCTACGTTCAGGACCTAGGGAGCGATGCCGAACATGGCCCTATCGACGAGGTGACCAACGACGTTCGATACCTTCTAGCTAGCAACAGCAACATTCCCGAACAGATTGCTATTGCATCTTTATATTTTGCTGGCTACCAATGAGGACAGACTCGTCGAACTCATCGTCGTCATTGCCACAGTCGTTGGCGCTTTCATCTCTTGTTATCTTATCGCCACGATCACGAGCCGAATCCACGTTGTTATTCGCCACCGCCACACATCACTACAATTCTCATCATTACAGCCGTCATCTCCACATCATCACAATCGCGTACATAATCGTGAAGGTCGTCACAACTAACAGTCGAACTGCAGCCATCCTTGTGACCCTTATCATCCTTAGACCCTTACCATCCTCATGGTCCCTATGATCCTCACCATCCTTATCACCATATCATCATTATCACAACGTATCATCATTCTCGTCATTATCATCACATTCGTCATTGTCATCGCTATCGTCGTTGTCGCCACTATCATCACTGTCATCATTATCATCCGCGTCATCACTATCACCACCGTCAGCACGATCAGCACTACCATCACTATCATCAGTATCATCGTCAAGACTGTTGTTTGTGGTCATCACGCCCAACATGATCAGCTTCATCAACATGGCCATCATGATCATGAAAAACAGCGTTCTCATAAGCAGCACGAGATTATCACCACCCAACCATCGTCATTATCATCATTAGAACCATCATCGTAATCGTCACTTTCTCGTCACCATGGACATTATCCTCTCCATCAGCCCTATCATCATCGCCAACATTGTAATCATTATCCTCCTCATCATCGCAATCGTCATCACTATCATCAGTCACCATAATCGTTACAAGAACCATAACCATCATAGTCATCAAAAGCATCGTCATCATCACCATCATCATACTCGAAATCATCAACACCATCAAGGTCATCATAACCATCATAAATATCGCAATCATGAAAACCATCAAAATTAGCATGGTTAGTCATCCTCATCATGATCATGGCCATAACCATATCACAATCATGATGACGACACGAAACGGAGACATTCATCATCATGACCGCAGTCTTCGTCTTTTGTCTCATAAACTTGGCCGCTGTCCTCAGGATAATCCAACCATAACCACGTTCACACTTTCAATCACAACCATGACCACAGTGACAACCATAAACCTGGCATTGTCATAACTATAATCATGGCCATCATCAATTCCACCCGGAAGCTACCCACGATCACCGGCATCAGCAACATCACCGTGTAACCTGTTCCACAACCAAGCTTCTTCAACGATGCAAGAGTTGCATCACGATCTGCCAGACTTCGACCGGCCAGGCTCGAGCCAAAGATATCGGTGATTCCACAAGTAAACCGTCTTTGCTGTTTCAAATTGTGGCCAACACACCCGATCATGACTGACGAGGTCGTCAGGGAGTTCCAGCCAGCTGAAGCAGGGATTCAACAGCTCCCGGCCAGAAGCTGTTCAAGTCTATGTCCGGTGCAGGAGTTGGGCAGGAGCATCGTGGAGACTAAACAGCAGGAACACACAACTCTCCGCTAACTGCCCGTGGCACAGCCTCTAATTTACATGGCGGCACTCCACTACAAGTGCTGTGAAAAAGCAGCAGCGTTTTGCGAGTGAAAACATGACGGCAGCCTTAAGTCGTTGCATGGCAATTCATGCGCCACTGCACCCCTTCTTGGAATGGGCTCCAACCAGTACGAACCATCCTTTTTCTTGCTGAACAGGCCGACACATTTCCTGGGTTGTGGCTTCTCGATTCTTGAGGCTAAGGAGCCACTCGAAAGCCCCATGATCCTACACACATGAGAAGAATCAGAACAGACCCTGCATCGTCGCCTCTGCAGTCTCACATCGAAACTTTCGAAACTTACCGACAAAAACGTTCAAAAGGTTACCAGGTTTGGGGGTTTCGAAGGAAGTCGAAAGTTCGTCAATCTGTAAACTGTAAAGCAAGTTGTCACATGGAAAGCTTCACGCACGAGTGCACCAAAAATTAAACTGACTCATCAAGATCATCGACAGGCAGACTGTACTGGCACTCCCGCCAAGAATCGACCACTTGAGCACTCAAGTCTGCGGAAACAACAGCAACATAGAATTGAACCAGAACCGTGATGCGTGAAAACGGTGAACTGACATGCAGGCCCACTTTCTCCTTCACGCTGTGGGGTTTGCCGGCTCAGTGGGCTCAATCAGAACATCCCGCTAAGGGGATCCCCCCCAAGGAACCAGAAGTAGAAGAGGGTGCCCAGAAATCCTCAGGTGGCGTTAAGGGGGAAATTAGGGTCTTAGGATGGGGTTCAGAACCAGCCTTTAAGGCCGGTGAGAAGCGGGGGGTAGGAAGAGGGTGCCCAGAAATCCTCAGGTGCTGGAAGAGGAAAACGGCTTTAGGATATAGAGTTTAGGGTTGAGGACTCAAACTCCCGCAAATGTTGTCGGGGGATGCGGTGTAGGATGTAGGGTTTTCTTTTCAGGACATGAGCTGAAGGTTTAGGGTTTTAGGAATGCTTGGTTGAGGAGTTTACCCTCAGCTGCCATCACGGGGAAGCAACATGATCAACTGTGTAACCCGATACCGGTAGTCTAGTCTGAGCTATGGATTTTCAGGCCGGGGCTCGAGGGCATCATGGCTGTTCTGACTTCGAGCCTTCTGTTGGGGTCCGCATAAGAGGGAATACTCGGAACGGGGCGGTTCTACCTGAAAGTGGGGTTATAAGTACCTTAAGTATATTTACCTATAAGTAAGACACTTATCCCTAAACCCTTAGCCCGAACTCCTAACCCCAACATCCTAAACCCTGAACTCGAAGCTCTAAACCCGAAGCCCTAAGCCCTAAACCCTAAAGCCCTCAAAATTTGGGCTCCAGGTCTCCATGGTAGAGACCCAAAGGCAGGACATTGCGGTGCAGCAAGTACTCCACAGCCCAGGGGACCTGGATTGAGGGCTCCGGGTTTAGGCTTTAGGGTTTAGTGTGTAGGGTTTAAGGTCTGGGGATTAGGGTTTAGCGTGTAGGGTTTATGTTTTATGGCTTTGGACCAAATGCTTTAGCATATTTAGAGCTGAACGTGAATGAAGGACTTGAATAGGGACGCCCTACGATGGCAGCTTGCTTATATGAAGGAAAGCAAAATACTACGGTGTGGATGCCCTATGATGGTCGCTTGCCGATGAGGGAAAGCGAATTATTTGCTCTCGGGCCCTGCTTTGGTAACCTAGCTTACAATCGTTCACACGAAGCCTAGACCCTTAAACCCTAAAATCCTAAACTCTGAATACCAAACTCCTAATCCATAGAGTACTCCACAGCCCGGGGCACCCCCATGACGCCGGTGCCAATCATCAACCAGCGGTCCTGAGCCATACTGGGTTTAGGGTTCAGGGTTTAGGGTTTAAGGTTCAGGGTTTACGCTTTAAGGTTTGGGGCTTAAGGTTTACGGCTTAGGGCTGAGGTTTTGGGGTTTTGGTTTCATAGCATGGGGTTTAGGGTTTAGGGTTTAGGGTTTTTAGGCTTGAAAGGTCGGGTCTATTCCGCGCGAGACCGTCATGCTGCACTACAAACTCCCTCAACTCTGATCTGCTTAACTGAAGTCTACTCTAATCTCCTCTACTCTACTCCACTCGACTGCACTCTGCCAGGCTACTCACATCCGCTGATCCTAAGACTTTCCCCTCTAGCAGCTAAGCTCCTTAGCTCCCAATCCACGCTACAAAACTATGCTCTATTTTCTGCAATCTACGATACCTTGCTATAGCTTTTTACAGTATTCTACCTCAGTATACTGTACTATGTCATAGCGTGGTATACGATATTAAACTGCACTCTCCCCAGCCCTCCGAACACTGATTGGAGGGCTCCGTGGGAACCATATTATTGGAAGCTGTACACCCTGAACCCTGCACGTTAACCCGCTAAACTGAACCCTAAAAGCTGCTCATAGGTGTACTTAAAAAACCTCCATTGTCCTCATTTGTTGGATTACGAGAAGTCCACCCACCCCTCTTTGTATCTACTAAGTCTCCAAAACATTACCTCCTACACCCTGAAGCGAACGTTATGACCTGCTCAGGCCCCAGAGCCAAGTATATCGCATCTAGGAGCGGGCCAGTGCACAAAGGCGAACGCGGCGGCCGAGACTGCCACGCACCTGCGCAAGGGTCCAGGGTTTTGGGGCTCACTACGTCCCTCCCCTGATCCTGCAAGGAGGGTCTCTTTGCGCTTTGGGCTTCAGGTCTCAGTTTAGGGTTTGCGGTTTAGGATATCCCTGGCCTAGTAAGGACTCTAGAGTCCCTTAGTAAGGATTTTGGGATGCTTGAAATATGGACTATCAAGAAGGATCCCAATGTCAGCTAAACTAAGACATTCCCTTTTGCGTAGAGGGCAACACCCACCTCAAAAAGAAAAATACAATCTTAGGAAGGTGTCTTGTTTCCAATACCCGTATCTATCCAAGTGCCATAACCCAAAACGTCTTCAGGGGACCTAGTAAGTAGGCTATATGTGGGTCTCTGAAGAACACAACTCCGACTTGTAACCTACTTACTAAGTCGCCTAAGCTTCCAAATAGTAAGTGCATCCTTCACCCACGGATTGCCCTTTGATTCATGAACCCTTGATGGCCCTAACTGCCAGAAACTACCGCCCTCCCAACCGGCAAGGCTGTAAGGCTCGGGGCTCCAGAACGGCCACACCATAACGGGTAGCAGCGGTAATGGCACTAGTAGAAGAAGTAGAAGTAGTAGTGCTGGTACTGGTAGTATTGGTAGGAGTGGTAGTAGTGGTAGTACTGCTAGTAGTGGTAGTGGTAGTAGTAGCAGTAGTAGTAGTAGTAGTAGTAGTAGTAGTAGTAGTGGTAGTAATGGTAGTAATGGTAGTGGTAGTAGTAGAAGTAGTA